CTGGTCCAGACCAGAGTAGAGAGGATTCATGGTTTTACACTGGTCCAGACCAGAGCAGAGAGGATTCATGGTTTTACACTGGTCCAGACCAGAGCAGAGAGGATTCATGGTTTTACACTGGTCCAGACCAGAGCAGATAGATAGATAGACCTTTATTGTCCCCTGAGGGAAATTCATTTTCACAGGCACTGTCACATACAGGTTACAATAAACACAAAAGACACCGAAGGGAGGGAAACACATACAACGCAGGAACAAGGGCAACATTACAGACTGTTTAGAGCTGCTATCGCTGAAGGGACAAAACTTTTACTAAATCTTGCCCTCTTCCATCTTAGAGTTCTGTATCTGCGTCCTGAGGGCAGCAGAGTGAAGTGGGTGTGGAGGGGATGGTCTGGGTCAGTGCTTACTGTCCGGGCCATGCGTGTTACTGCTGTGAGGTTGAGCTGAGAGAGGTCTGCGGTGGGGAGACTGAGGATTTTGGATGCTGTGTGTGTGACTTTAGTGAGTTTGTTTCTGTTGGTGATGGAGAGCATGTTAAAGTAACAGGGAGAGCAGTAGAGGAGAATAGGTTGAATGATTGAAGAGTAGAGTTTCAGAAGCAGATTTGGAGAGACAGAGAGGGCACGGAGCTTACGAAGGATGTAGAGTCTTTGTTGGGATTCATAGTTTTACACTGGTCCAGACCAGAGCAGAGAGGATTCATGGTTTTACACTGGTCCAGACCAGAGCAGAGAGGATTCATGGTCCAAACCAAGCGGATCTGATGAAAATCCACAGGAGGAATGCTAACTTTTTGAAAAATTCTAATGAACCATTTGGCATTTTACTTTGTACGAGCAGCGAAAATGGTCAGAACCAAGCGGCTACTCCACCTTTTGACCTGTCCTGCTCCACCCAGAGGCTACTCCATCTCTGCTGCTGTGACCCGTCCTGCTCCACCCAGAGGCTACTCCACCTCTGCTGCTGTGACCCGTCCTGCTCCACCCAGAGGCTACTCCACCTCTGCTGCTATGACCAGTCCTGCTCCACCCAGAAGCTACTCCACCTCTGCTGCTGTGACCCGTCCTGCTCCACCCAGAAGCTACTCCACCTCTGCTGCTGTGACCCGTCCTGCTCCACCCAAAGGCTACTCCACCTCTGCTGCTGTGACCCGTCCTGCTCCACCCAGAGGCTACTCCACCTCTGCTGCTGTGACCCGTCCTGCTCCACCCAGAGGCTACTCCACCTCTGCTGCTGTGACCCGTCCTGCTCCACCCAGAGGCTACTCCACCTCTGCTGCTGTGACCCGTCCTGCTCCACCCAGAGGCTACTCCACCTCTGCTGCTGTGACCTGTCCTGCTCCACCCAGAGGCTACTCCACCTCTGCTGCTGTGACCCGTCCTGCTCCACCCAGAGGCTACTCCACCTCTGCTGCTGTGACCTGAAGGGCTGTTGCTGATTATTACTATTATTAGCTTTTTTGAATGATCAATTTTATTTTTTATTTTTTTTACTACTGGACACCTGCATTTCTCCGACGGGGATCAATAAAATATCTATCTAAAAGAGAGATAGTATAGAATAATGAATTGCACCCAAATAAGGAGTCGGCAGGAGCTGAGCTATTTGAGCCAATCCTTTCTATACCATATTTTACTGCACACAATATTTAGCATCACGCATACACAAAACTAGTTTGCACACTTTTCATATTTTTGAATTATTTGAAACTTAAGATCATTCTTAAGAAGTTTTATGAAGCTTTATTATCATTTTTAATTATGTTTTTTCTTGTAACTGTGTTTGTGCGAATGGAGCAAGGGACTAATGCACAATTTCCTCCTGGATCTAAAAAGCATTCATCTATCTTTCTAAAATATACTCCGACAATGTTCAAATCCAGGTTGTTAAGCCCTTTGTATGACCATGTGCGCTCTACAAATAATGGTAAATTGATTCGTTGAAGTCTTGTTTTCCCTCAGACATGTGGTAATGCAGCGTCTTCTCCACCAGGTGCTGCTGTTGCACTGCACACAGACACTAGGACAGCAGTAATCAGACTCTCCCTGCTGCTTTCACACACTGCTGCTGCTGCATCTGGTTGTGTAGCCCTGCCCAGAATTTCTCACAATTACAACACATTCATTTATTCCCTTCTGCCGGCATCAGCACTCTCCTGCTCGGCAAATAATCGGCTTCCTGCGCTCGCCGCGATGATTGATTGGGGCTCGACTGTGCAGCTGATCAACATTTGTCTTGTGTTTATGGCTTTTAGGCGCCGCAGGTTGGCGTTATGGATATCTCTGTCCCCAATAAGACTTACATTGTTTAATTAGAGTGTGGAGAAAAGAGAAACCCTCTGTTTGCAAATATAAATTCACCCCAATCACCTCAGAACTCCACACAAACAAACAGCCCGGACTCAGGGGACTCCACAAAGTCATTCTGCAAATTCACTTTTACTTTGTTTAAATGCTGCGTTCACTTACACTGGATTTATGTGACACAGGGAATGCATCATCGGAGTAATTCCCCGAGGCTAATTACTATTAGTGTGAGCGAGTGTTTTAGCCGAGCACACACGGGTGAATGCCCAGGAGGACCCCCGGCACGAGGCAAAGAGCTGGAAGTGGCTGAGGGGCCCCTGTGGTGGAGGTGGTGGAGGTGGTGGAGGGGCCCCTGTGGTGGAGGTGATGTCTTCTCCAGGCGCAGGAGGAAGGAAGCCAAACGTCCGGGGCACTTTTTGGGTTAAACTAGCAACATGTAAGATTATCACGTCAAGTCATCTAAAGGGCCCTAATCCGTCAAAAGGCATTAATAAAACATGCTTTCCAATAAGACCCGTCCTGCTCCACCCAGAGGCTACTCCACCTCTGCTGCTGTGACCTGTCCTGCTCCACCCAGAGGCTACTCCACCTCTGCTGCTGTGACCCGTCCTGCTCCACCCAGAGGCTACTCCACCTCTGCTGCTGTTTCCTGTCCTGCTCCACCCAGAGGCTACTCCACCTCTGCTGCTGTTTCCTGTCCTGCTCCACCCAGAGGCTACTCCACCTCTGCTGCTCTGACCTGTCCTGCTCCACCCAGAGGCTACTCCACCTCTGCTGCTGTGATCCGTCCTGCTCCACCCAGAGGCTACTCCACCTCTGCTGCTGTGACCCGTCCTGCTCCACCCAGAGGCTACTCCACCTCTGCTCCACCCAGAGGCTACTCCACCTCTGCTGCTGTGACCCGTCCTGCTCCACCCAGAGGCTACTCCACCTCTGCTGCTGTGACCTGAAGGGCAGTTGCTGATTATTACTGTAGTTAGCTTTTTAGAATGATCTATTTCATTTTTTTTATTTTTGCTGCTACTGGACACCTGCATTTCTCCTTTGGGGATTAATAAAATATCTATCTATCTGTCTGTGTCTGTCTGTCTGTCTGTTTGTGTGTGTGTCTGTCTGTCTGTCTGTGTGTGTGTCTGTCCGTCTCTGTGTCTGTCTGTCTGTGTGTGTGTGTCTGTCTGTCTGCCTGTGTGTCTGTCTGTCTGTGTGTCTGTCTGTCTGTGTGTCTGTGTGTGTGTCTGTCTGTCTGTCTATTCATGTTTTATTGAGGTTGACCTGTCTCTCTCTCTCAGAGTCCCGCAGACCTGTCTCTCTCTGCAGAGTCCCTCAGACCTGTCTCTCTCTCAGAGTCCCACAGACCTGTCTCTCTCTCCCGGTCCATTCTGACCCGTTCCCACTGAAGCTGCCTCTGGGTGACTGTGTCTGTAGCGACTGCCCTGTGCCTCATTCTGACAGATTTGTGAGACTCATATTTAATGAGGAGTTTATATGACCCTTTCATTTCCTTCCAGCGGCAAATTTACTTTTATTAAACAGTGAAAGGACCTGAGGCTCTTTCTGCTGACTTCTACCTTTGGCTCTGAGCAATAAATCAAGTCTATAAAGTTACGGCATACGGCATTTTAATTTCAAATCATAAAATAATAACGAGAAGGAAAACAATGACAATTCGTTTAGAGTTATCGAGTGTCAAAATCGTTAAAGGCTGTTTTTCCGAGACTGGGACTGAACTAATCTGCATGTGATGTGCAGATATAGATTATTATTCTATTGATTTATGTCTGTCTTAGTTTAATCTATGACTCTAACTGTTTATAGACCCATTGTTGCATACTTATCACATACATCCATTTTCTCCCACTTTATACGTTGCCGTGTGGCAGGGGCAGCACTCTGAGCAGAGACACCCAGACTTACTCCCACTCATCTGGGGGAAATCCTGAGGCGTTGTCAGTGTGTTGTCAGAGTATGAGTGTTTTGTTGTCTGCCTCATACCGGTGGTAGTGTGTGTGTGTGTGTGTGTGTGTGTGTGTGTGTGTGTTTTTGAACCAGGTACAAGTATCCATCCATCCATCTTCTTCCCTTTAATCCATTTCTGGGTCAGGGGGGGTGGCAGTCAGAGCACCAGCCCCTCACTGATCCTCCTGCAGGTGCTGAGTCCACAGGAGCCTTGATTTTCAAACAGGAGCTTCAGGCAAAGTGGGGTTAAGTGTCTTGCCCAAGGACACAATGACAGCTGTAATCAATGGGAGTCGTGAAGTCAGTCTTGTGGTGGGTTTGAACCCACAACCTTCAGGCTCTAATGCCAATGCTTCCAGGTCCAAGTAATTTGTCTGTTATTTGTCTGTGGAGGCATCCCAAACAGATGTCGAGCCACCTTAACTGTTGTTGTGGGGAAGCAGCGGCTCTACTCCGAGCTCCTCCCCCTCTCTCTAAGGGAGCAGCCACTCTAGAGGAAGCTCTTTTCGCTTGTATCTGTGATCTTGTCCTTTTGCCTTTACCCAAAGACCAAATTAATCATATATTTTAGAAATAGAAAATTCTCATTCTAAACAAACTATTCTGAAATGTGTTTCAAACTCTTTAATTGTGAAATCATTTTCCAGAACCGTGTTGGAACAATGTGAGAACAAAAGTTTGATTATTTTTACTGATGTGCAACAGTTTCACATGTTTTGAGGTGAAACTGTCAAAATGTCGCTGCTGGAGTCAGTTTGGAACAATGATGCATTTATCTGTGGATTACAACATGATTTAAATAAAAAAACAAAAAAAACCTATGTACCTAAAAAATAATAATAATAAAATGTGTTAAACTTGGATAAAATAATGAGTGAACAAACAAACATGACCTAATCTGACAGTTTTGTGGATCATTTTGCGACGTTACAACATTGTTCTTCATCCGTCACAGACCTGAAGTTGTGTTTAGATCCATCCACGCTGAAATCAGGAAGTTCCGGCACAGACTCCGCCCCTTCTGTCGTGTGATGTCATTGTACCGCTGTGACATCACACTCAGAGCCCTTTGCTGCCTTTTAAAACTAAAGACCATGAATTAGTTTTGACAATTGCTTAACTGTGTTTGCAGCTGGTAATTTTCAACTTCGAAATAGAAAAAGAAAATTAAACCGCTCCCTCTGGTGGCAGCATTGGGAGTTACAGGCTGAGTTTATTATTTACTATTGATACTTGTTTCATCATATATTTTGAATTGAAGTTATTATTCCACATTCTAAAACATGACAGTAAATAGTCTCATTATATTTTTTAACTGCACAAAAATACTGCACAATATTTTTCCTTAAAGTGATAGTCTGGACAAATGTTAAGAATGGGTACTTCCGGGTTTACCGCGACCGCTTTTTTTGTGCATTAAAACATAATTTTTGTCATGAAAACGTGAACAGATAATTCTGAAAACCTCCGTGCACGTGTGTTAATAATGTTTATGTATAATGTGTTCTCCGATTAACATTGTTGATTGATTGTTACGGAAATGTAGGCGTGGACCAATCAGAAAGGAAGGGGGAGGAGCTTGGGTCGTTTTTTTTCAAATCATGTTCCTAATGAGCTTTTCCCTCTTTAAATATTTACTTTATTTGCTGATGATGAGGATGTGGTCCTTCCTCGCCGTCCTTGGATACCTCTGAGGGTTGTCCGCTCCTCGAACCTCTCGAAACGACTCAACAGTGTTCCCCTGATGTGACCTTTAAAGAAATAACTCTGCTCTTTCATTTCTCGTGTGATGAACGGATTTTAAAACGCATTTTCTACAAGTTCCTCCCTTTAATGTCAGAGAATTAAGTCGGATCTGGACGGTTCTGCTTTGTTTTGTCACGATCAATACGACAGTGACATTTTCAACAAGCAGGTGGAAGCCAGATCCTGTTAAACCTCGGAAGCTAAGCAGGGCAAGGCTGGGTTAGTGCTGTGATGGGAGACCTCTGGGGACACCAGGTGCTCAGTGGGGCGATGTGCCAAACTGTGGTTGTGTCCTCAAGCAAGACACTTCACCCACATTAGAATGAATGAAGTGCGTGGGTGCCTCGCTTCTGTCAGTAGTGCTCAGGGCAGATGTGGCTACAGAAGTCGTTTATCACTACAGAGAGAAAGAGAGAGAGAGAGAGAAAGAAAGAGAGAGAGACAGAGAGAGAGAGAGAGAGTGACAGAACGAGAGAGAAAAAGAGAGACAGAGATGGAGAGAGAGACAGAGAGGAGAGAGACAGAGAGAAGAGAGAGACAGAGAGGAGAGAGAGACAGAGAGGAGAGAGAGACAGAGAGGAGAGAGAGACAGAGAGCGAGAGAGAGAGAGAGAGAGAGACAGAGATAGAGAGAGTGACAGAACGAGAAAGAGAAAAAGAGAGGGACAGAGATGGAGAGAGAGACAGAGAGGAGAGAGAGACAGAGAGCGAGAGAGAGACAGAGAGCGAGAGAGAGAAGAGAGAGAGACAGAGAGGAGAGAGAGACAGAGAGCGAGAGAGAGAAGAGAGAGAGACAGAGATAGATACTGGTTTTATACAGTGCTTTTCAAAAAGGTGCCGTATAAAACGAGTGCATTATTATTTTTACTATTTGAAACGAGAATGTCCTGGACGTTCCGAGAGCCTGAGTCTGAGCCTGAGTCTGAGCCTGAGTCTGAGCCTGAGTCTGAGCCTGAGCCTGAGTCTGAGCCTGAGTCCGAGCCTGAGTCTGAGTCTGAGCCTGAGTCTGAGTCTGAGCCTGAGTCCGAGCCTGAGTCTGAGTCTGAGTCTGAGCCTGAGTCCGAGCCTGAGTCTGAGTCTGAGTCTGAGCCTGAGTCTGAGCCTGAGTCCGAGCCTGAATCCGAGCCTGAGTCTGAGCCTGAGTCCGAGCCTGAGTCTGAGCCTGAGTCCGAGGCTGAGTCTGAGCCTGAGCCTGAGTCCGAGCCTGAGTCTGAGCCTGAGTCTGAGCCCGAGCCTGAGCCTGAGCCTGAGTCTGAGTCTGAGTCCGAGCCTGAGTCTGAGCCTGAGTCTGAGCCTGAGTCCGAGCCTGAGCCTGAGTCCGAGTCTGAGTCTGAGCCTGAGTCTGAGCCTGAGTCCGAGCCTGAGTCTGAGCCTGAGCCTGAGCCTGAGTCTGAGCCTGAGCCTGAGTCTGAGTCTGAGCCTGAGTCTGAGTCTGAGCCTGAGTCTGAGCCTGAGTCTGAGCCTGAGCTCGAGCCTGAGTCTGAGCCTGAGTCTGAGCCTGAGTCCGAGCCTGAGTCCGAGTCTGAGTCTGAGCCTGAGTCTGAGCCTGAGTCTGAGCCTGAGTCTGAGCCTGAGCCTGAGTCTGAGTCTGAGCCTGAGTCTGAGCCTGAGTCCGAGCCTGAGTCTGAGTCTGAGTCCGAGGCTGAGTCTGAGCCTGAGTCTGAGCCTGAGTCTGAGCCTGAGTCTGAGCCTGAGTCTGAGCCTGAGTCCGAGCCTGAGTCTGAGTCTGAGTCTGAGCCTGAGTCTGAGCCTGAGTCTGAGCCTGAGTCCGAGCCTGAGTCTGAGTCTGAGCCTGAGTCTGAGCCTGAGTCTGAGCCTGAGTCTGAGTCTGAGCCTGAGCCTGAGCCTGAGTCTGAGCCTGAGTCTGAGCCTGAGTCTGAGCCTGAGTCTGAGCCTGAGTCTGAGCCTGAGTCCGAGGCTGAGTCTGAGCCTGAGTCTGAGTCCGAGGCTGAGTCTGAGTCTGAGCCTGAGTCTGAGCCTGAGTCCGAGCCTGAGTCTGAGCCTGAGTCTGAGCCTGAGTCTGAGCCTGAGTCTGAGTCTGAGCCTGAGTCCGAGCCTGAGTCTGAGCCTGAGTCTGAGTCTGAGTCTGAGTCTGAGCCTGAGTCTGAGCCTGAGTCTGAGTCTGAGCCTGAGCCTGAGTCTGAGCCTGAGCCTGAGTCTGAGCCTGAGTCCGAGCCTGAGTCTGAGTCTGAGTCTGAGCCTGAGTCCGAGCCTGAGTCTGAGCCTGAGTCTGAGCCTGAGCCTGAGCCTGAGTCTGAGCCTGAGTCTGAGTCTGAGTCTGAGTCCGAGCCTGAGTCCGAGCCTGAGTCTGAGTCTGAGCCTGAGTCCGAGCCTGAGTCTGAGTCTGAGCCTGAGTCTGAGCCTGAGTCTGAGTCTGAGTCTGAGCCTGAGTCTGAGCCTGAGTCTGAGCCTGAGTCTGAGCCTGAGTCTGAGTCTGAGTCTGAGCCTGAGTCTGAGCCTGAGTCCGAGCCTGAGTCCGAGCCTGAGTCTGAGCCTGAGTCTGAGTCTGAGTCTGAGCCTGAGCCTGAGCCTGAGTCTGAGCCTGAGTCTGAGTCTGAGTCTGAGTCTGAGTCTGAGCCTGAGTCTGAGTCCGAGCCTGAGTCTGAGTCCGAGCCTGAGTCTGAGTCCGAGCCTGAGTCTGAGTCTGAGCCTGAGTCTGAGCCTGAGTCTGAGTCTGAGTCTGAGCCTGAGTCTGAGCCTGAGTCTGAGTCTGAGTCTGAGCCTGAGTCCGAGCCTGAGCCTGAGCCTGAGTCCGAGCCTGAGTCTGAGCCTGAGTATGAGTCTGAGTCTGAGTCTGACCCTGAGTCTGAGCCTGAGTCTGAGTCTGAGTCTGAGTCTGAGCCTGAGTCCGAGCCTGAGTCTGAGTCTGAGCCTGAGTCTGAGCCTGAGTCCGAGCCTGAGTCTGAGTCTGAGTCTGAGCCTGAGCCTGAGTCTGAGCCTGAGTCTGAGTCTGAGCCTGAGTCTGAGCCTGAGTCTGAGCCTGAGTCTGAGTCTGAGCCTGAGTCTGAGCCTGAGTCCGAGCCTGAGCCTGAGCCTGAGCCTGAGTCTGAGCCTGAGTCTGAGCCTGAGTCCGAGCCTGAGCCTGAGTCTGAGCCTGAGCCTGAGCCTGAGTCTGAGCCTGAGTCTGAGCCTGAGTCTGAGCCTGAGTCCGAGCCTGAGTCTGAGCCTGAGTCCGAGGCTGAGTCTGAGCCTGAGTCTGAGTCCGAGGCTGAGTCTGAGTCTGAGCCTGAGTCTGAGCCTGAGTCCGAGCCTGAGTCTGAGCCTGAGTCTGAGCCTGAGTCTGAGCCTGAGTCTGAGTCTGAGCCTGAGTCCGAGCCTGAGTCTGAGCCTGAGTCTGAGTCTGAGTCTGAGTCTGAGCCTGAGTCTGAGCCTGAGTCTGAGTCTGAGCCTGAGCCTGAGTCTGAGCCTGAGCCTGAGTCTGAGCCTGAGTCCGAGCCTGAGTCTGAGTCTGAGCCTGAGTCTGAGCCTGAGTCCGAGCCTGAGTCTGAGCCTGAGTCTGAGCCTGAGCCTGAGCCTGAGTCTGAGCCTGAGTCTGAGTCTGAGAGTCTGAGTCCGAGCCTGAGTCCGAGCCTGAGTCTGAGTCTGAGCCTGAGTCCGAGCCTGAGTCTGAGCCTGAGTCTGAGCCTGAGTCTGAGCCTGAGTCTGAGTCTGAGCCTGAGTCTGAGCCTGAGTCTGAGCCTGAGTCGGAGCCTGAGTCTGAGCCTGAGTCTGAGTCTGAGCCTGAGTCTGAGCCTGAGTCCGAGCCTGAGTCCGAGCCTGAGTCTGAGCCTGAGTCTGAGTCTGAGTCTGAGCCTGAGCCTGAGCCTGAGTCTGAGCCTGAGTCTGAGTCTGAGTCTGAGTCTGAGTCTGAGCCTGAGTCTGAGTCCGAGCCTGAGTCTGAGTCCGAGCCTGAGTCTGAGTCCGAGCCTGAGTCTGAGTCTGAGCCTGAGTCTGAGCCTGAGTCTGAGTCTGAGTCTGAGCCTGAGTCTGAGCCTGAGTCTGAGTCTGAGT